CCCCAAAACCCCAAAACCCCAAAACCCCATAATGAATGATATTTATTGATTGTAAAATAAAGATATTGAAATTAAAATATTCTCTTTGAAATATAGAAATCAAAAGCCTTATAAATTAGCTCATCATATCTTAAGTTTATGAGTTAAATATTATCACAGAATTATAAACTTGCTCGTTTCATAATAACCAGTCTACTTTAACGCCTAAATTTTCATACCATTATCTTCTTTATTTTGAAATTTAAGCAGGGTCTTAGTATTGTTCTTTTTATTTTTATTTCAATCTTAATTCCCATGCAGCTTTTTTTTACTCTACGTTATTAAATCCTTCACTAATAGGTCTATATCGCTGTTTTAAGTTTAAACCTTCTTAAGGTATCTTGGAAAAATCTATTGGATTTACTTTTAATTCAAAGAAACCAGGAATGAATTTAGCTTTAATCTTCCTTTCAACTAGTCGCTCTATATCAAACTGGACTTAATCTTCCTCAAGAAATAAGGGAAACTCGTAACTTAAAGGAGGGGCTAGAAGTTATTTCAAAAGTAAATTTCCTAATGCAAAGATAGTAGCCTCTTCCTCGACCATATCTATTGAAGTTGTTTAAATAATTATCCCAAGAAAGTAAAATTAATTCAAATAATTAACTTACTTTATGATGTAGAAATGTTCTGTATAACCAGTTTTTGAATTCTAACATTTGATTCTACGTTGAATTTCAATGTCCCCTCGTCACATTGTTTGATCTTTGATAATCCTCCGATTCCAAGATAGCCTTTAGCAATTCTATCCCAAGAAAATAGTGTTTTTCCAACAAGAATATCAAAGATAAATGGGATTTACATATTAATCTAATAAAAATTAATAATTTATAGAATTTAATTGCTTACTTCATCTTAACCGAATTTTATAAAGGTATTTTGCAAAGAATATTATAGTCCCTCTTGCAAAAGATCTTTAGGATTAAGTTCCAATGAGAATCGTTTTTTAGGCAGATAAGTATTTAAAAGGTTGGGAAAGATATCTGATGCCTCCTCAACTTTCATCCTTTTTGAATATTAATCAAACTCCGGGAATAATTCAATATATTCAAGAACATTCATTCGCTTTCTTCTGTTGATATGCTCTTTCACAAATTCCTCAATAAATTTATCACTAATTATTATTCCAAAGAATCTTGGCATTTATACTGGCAAGTCTGAATAGAAATTTTAAATTGAATCAGATTTTAATTTTGTGAGATGAACATCTGATGTGCTGAAGTCAATAAAACAAGATTGCCCATTAGTATGAAATTTGCCTGCTATTCTAGTGAATACATAAGCTAGCAAATGCAATGCATAAAATTACTATGAAGAGTAATCATTAAGATGATTATTTGTCCAATCACTCAAGACATTTGCTAAGCTTAATACTGATTGTTTTATATCATATCTTTTTTATTCATCCTCTATTCCACTCACAAACACTTCATTTTATAACTTATTCTTGTAAATATCAGTCTCAGGTGATGGAACTTATGAGGTATGAATAGTTGCCATAAAACTCTCAAGATTTCCTGGAGAAGTAACTCTACCATGGAACACGAACTCAATGGCTTTTTAGTTTGAATTTGGTGGGTCCCTAGTTTCCAACTATGGAATCTACAGGGTTAGTTTTTCATCATTATGTCCTAATTAGTTCCACTTATCATTGAGTATCCTATAGATATATCCTTCCTCCATCTAGAGTCTCTAGATAATATGCTCATTGCTTACTTCTATTCTTAAAGACTATATAGATTGAAGGTTTTGTAATATTAGCAAGAGTAGCCCTACTAAGTATTAATTCATTTTTAATTATTAAATCTTTTAGTAACATTATTGTTTTTCAATTTCCTTTATTTTAGACGATATTATTTCATGGGGTTTTGGGGTTTTGGGGTTTTGGGG